TGAAAAATTTCTTCCTAATATTTAATCTAAACCTACCCTCTTTCAGTCTAAAGCCATTACCCCTTGTTCTATCACTACCTGCCCTTATAAAAAGTCCCTCCCCAGCTTTCTTGTAGGCCCCTTCAGGTATTGGAAGGCAGCTATAAGGTCTCCCCAGAGCCTTCTCTTCTCCAGGCTGAACAGCCCCAACTCTCTCAGCCTGTTCTCGTAGGAGAGGTGCTCCAGCCCTCGGATCATCCTCGTGGCCCTCTTCTGGACTCGTTCTAACTGGTCCATGTCTTTCTTTTGTTAGGATCCTCCAGAGAGATTAAAGGCAAGAAGAATTACTGGGTATTCCAGGACAACAAATCCCAGGAATGACACCTGAGAGAGGATAGTCTCCAGCTAAACTTCAACTGACTCATAAACCTCCAGACCTAGTGAAAAAAAGAAAGAAAAGAAAAAAAGAAGGAAAGAAAGAGAGGAAGGGAGAGAGGAAATTCAAAACTTAACTCAAAACTAAATCTAAAACAGGTTGCTGAAGGGAACTGAGGAGGTAGTCCATACCTAGCACTGTGAAACCAGGTAAATACTTGTGCAGGTAAGTTCAAAGGATGAATACAAATACCGAAAATTATTAGGAAGAAAAGAAATGCATATGCAACTAAGATACTAGGAGGAAACTCAAGACATCTATGTTCAGTTCTTAGACAGGTTACAAGCTTTGTGTGACCTACATAATTTAAGATTCATTTCAGCTGCATAAGCATCAGGACTCTAGAGCCCTCTGAAATGGTTGGTGGTATCCCACCTGAACTCCAGCTACTAATCATGAAGGATCCGCGTGTCTCTTGTCCTCAGTAATATCTGTCAGCCCTGTCTGGATCTCCTGGATTCCCTGCAGTACCCCCACTAGATACCTCTATTTAAGCAACTGAATTGATCTGTTAAACATTATGTTAGTATATATATAATATTATATTAGTGCCTCTTACCTCAAATGTATAAGCAGTTTTAAATTCCACCCTGCAGTCACTCTATGCCTCAGTTTCCCAATAGTGAAAAAGAGAGAATTATAAAAAAACACTTAGGCGCTACTTAGATCCTCAGGTAACACAAGCCATTTGAGTACTTGAAGGGGCAGAGGTGCATGTCTGTAAGTTCACAGCAGCAATGAAAGTCTAGTGTCTAATGCCAATTCCGGTTATTAACTGTTACTAGTGGACAGTATTTTGGAATGTCAAAAAATATAATAAAATGCTTCATATTTTTCTGTTAACTCATTTTGGTTGCCTGGTTCCTGTTTCTCTCACACAGTGTTTTATAAATATTTTTAAGAGATATTATCTTCATCAAATTGGAATATTACGCAAGTGATAAAATTTCAGAATATTTTGAATTATTAGAAGAACCTATAAATAGACAGTCATATGCAGGCCTTAATCAGAACTAGTCCCCACTGGGCAGCAATTTGATTGAACTGCTTTTATCTTTATGAATCCAGAATGGAGCCTTTGATGAAGCTCCAGAGTTGCAGAAAGCTGCATGCAAGGATCTAGTAACCTCGCACATTAGTATATTTTCATCTGTTTCTCTGCAATTTAACTTTTTTTTCTCAGCATACCGAGTTACGTAGGCCTGCAAGTCTGCATAAAGATTATAGCTTGTCCCAGGGATATCCATGAGACCTGGGAATCAAAAGGTGTTCACAGATTCATTAGGTTTCCTTAGTGTTTATATCTAGCTTATAAACTGTAATTTATGATTGATCTAATTGTTTTCTTTCACTTTAGAATTAGTTTAACTGAAAAATAGCTTTTACATTATGAAACTGCAGTATCATCTACATCTTCAAATAGAGTATCTCTGCACAAAGTCACTAGAAATTTTTACATCTGAAGGACACTGCAGCCTATTACACAACAAACTATCAAAGTTAATAATGACTGCATCTATCTACATATATATATTCAAGTATGGTTCTTCTACAAGCATGCATGAATCAAGTCTTAGGACTTTTGGCCTCGGGCCTACTAAGTATTATGCAAGTGTCATTCCTGCACAAACTAACAGCAGGTATTGCACTTGCTACTTGTGCAAAAAACGCTTCAAGTTGAAATAAAGTTGTTCATGAAAACACAAATTATTTTTTAACACTATGTGTCAATCTATTTTTAAAACATATATTGATGAACTATGGAAAAAATATTCATATCATAAAGTTAATAGGAAATAAGCTGTTTCTTACTATAAAGTCCGCACACTTCAGGTAACGTAAACAAATCTTCCTAATTCTAAGCAGAGTGTAGTGAATAACTTCCCTAATGCCCAAGGGGGACTAAACACAAAGGGTTAATTTCTATGATCTAATGAATGATTAACTGTGAAATCTTTTTTATCTGAAAAACACCTTTTTATTAGAATGCTAATTTAATTAATTGAATTTTGCTGTTAAGAGTAGTATAGTTAGGATATGTTTGTTCTCAGATGTATGTTATTCATGGACATTAATTATATCATTGTGATATTTCCTCTCCTGTTCTGAACATCTAGTAAGACCTGTACTACTAAATCATACTTAATAGGAGTGTGATGGTTGTTGCTTAGGCAACAGAATGAATAAATGCAGGTCAGAATGTGCTTCCAGAAAAACAAAAGCAGGAATACGGTACAGAATAAAGAACAAATATGTGTAACTGATATTTAGTGCATTGAAGTATTAGAGTTGTTCAATGTAAAGTGGCTAACCTATCTGAAACACTTAATTTAATAAGCTTGTAAAATATAGCTTAATATGTAAACCACTTTAATAAAGGTAAAGCAGTTCTCTAATACTAAGGAAGACTACAAGACATTTAAGTTTGGAGTAACCTGAATTTTTCTCTTAGCATAGCATCTTCTCTCATTTTTCTTTTCTCTTTAACATTTTGGCTAGAATGGAAAATATTTAAAAAACCACTCATTTAAATTTTCATGAGAGGCTTTCCTTACATAATAGTGATATCTTCAAAAGAATAATATATAAAGAAATTGATGTTTTCTGATCATTTTTAAATTATGGGAACAATTCAATCTCTGGTACAAACAAAAACTGAAATATGTAACAGTATGATAAACAGTATGAAAGCAATAAATTAGGAATTATTAAATTACTGAAGTTATACAATTTTTTATTATGAGGGAATTTTCCAGCTTTTTGCTTATCATTGGACTTAAAATTCTAATCTTCCATTCACATATGCATGCTACTCCAACTAATATTGAGAGTAACTATGTATTTTACCTGTTATATATATTTAAAAACAAACTACTTCATAAAAGGCTTAAATGAAAATTACTGGAAAACACCAGCTAACACACAAGCATGCAGGCATAACTTAATCTGCCTGATGCCTGAAAAGTTTGATTTGCGTATTGAATAGTGGAAACTCTTGTATAATTTGTATGTTTACATAAGTATACTAATAAGAGATGTAGGAAATGAAAGTCTTATAAATTCCCCTAGAACATGGTTTAGGCCCCTCCAGAGCCAGAGAACAACCAGAAAGCCTTCCAAGGCAGTTTCTTTGGCTGCTCCAGTGCTCATCATTTACCTGTGGTAGGTGTAACCCTCTGCATTTGTTATGCCACCTACAGCCTCTTGTGAACAATTTCCCTCATTAATCTCTTTAAGATGAAATTATCATCTACTTATGTAACCAACACTACAACATACATATGAATATGCGGTTACATTTTGGGAAACTGTAGCTTGAAACGCATTTTGGATTTTTTTTTTTACATTGCTGGGCTGACAGCACACCCGTGCAGCTTTGTTTCAAGAATATTTAAAGGAAAAGATCCTCATAATTTTTACTGATATAAGCAAAAGATCACATGGCAGCCATGTAAAAACAGTAAGAAACCTCTACACTATTATAATGTGGAAATGGCAGAGATCTGTGCCTTAATATTTTAATCAGTAACCCATAGGCATATAATGATGCTGGCAAAAGAAATTAAATAGGAAAAACACAACTCGTGATGATTTCATAGTCATAAAATTCATGCTGTTTCACTTCTGTTTCTTATATGCTAGTTATAAGTTATGAAAAGTTAGCACTGTTCCAAGATATACATGGTTACTAAGAATATTGTATAAAGGCACGATTAATAATATTTTAAACTCTGATACTTCGTAAGAAACGTAGTCAGGATTTTTGCAAGAGGTTCAAGTAATGGGAATACTGAAGCAGGTAGAAAAGTGATTATATAACAACCTTACAAGAAAGCTTCTCTTTACTGTCAATATTCATTTCAATGGAAAGTTTGTGCATGACAGGTCTATGTTACTTTATACCACAGGATAATACTGTAATTTCTGAAGTACTTTTTTTTTTTTTCATTCGTATGTTCTTAATAAATGCCTAGAGTTAAAACATGAAACTGGAACTATTAAAAGGAATGCATTACTTTTCCTAACAGGGCATAAGTTTCAACAAGTGAATCCCATAGCCTGATTATCTAAGATGCAAAAAAATTTAACCAAGGCATCTAGAATCACTTGCAGAGAAAGCACACTTCATTAAATAATTTTCTGGTATTAAAATACCTCTCAGTGCAAGAATGGCATTGCATGTCATTTAATTATTACTTCAATGATGTTAATGTATAAATAAAAGTAGTAACATGATGTGTTGCAGGTAAGACTGTTTACAGCTTTTACGTATTGTGAAAATCCTGCAAAGAATTAAAAGACCTGTGCATTTTTCTTTTTTAATCTGAAGATTGATGAGGGAGAGGGAGCACTTTAATATTCAGTTTTTCTTTTACCATATTTCTGGCTAGAATATTTTGTAACATGTACAATGTGGAAGTATATAAAAGGACAGTTTATATATTAATTTAGCTAAACATAGAAAAGTGAAACACTACACAGATCTTCTTAGTGCAATGCAGAAGAAGGCTTTTATGATCACATAAGAGACAGACAAAAAAGGCAGCTACAGTGTATACACAGCTATGCACAGAAGATTTCTTACCATAAATTGCACATTGTCAAATCCATTAGCCAGCAAGTGGTTTTCATACTGAGGTAGCCCAATATTTTCCAACCATTGTCCCACTGTCTGGACAGGGCATCGGGGTCCTGTAGGAGGGTGAAGAGGGAGGCGTTTAAGCAATGAATAACCATCCACTGGATAATAGCGGTAGTCCTGGGCTGAGAGGTGGCATTGCCACATCGTGTTCCTGGGAAAGTTGGTATCAAAGGAGCCCGCCAGCTTGACAGATTAATGTTTTCAGCAAGCAGAAAAGTCAGAAGTAAAACATAGTTTACAGCACAGTATATAGCGTAAGATCTGATCCTAGCTCTACATTTCTTAGTTATTAATCTTTACTACAGACCAGTACGTCATATAGTAGGAAAAAAAAAAAAAAAAAGAAAGCATATCAAGCTGTCAGCTAAGCTGTTCTCCGTTCTATGTGATTGTTGGAATACTCCACAATGAGCAATGCACTGCCAGCAGCAAGAATTCTTTTTATCAAGTACTCCTACACTCATCAGTATGCAGCTCCATGCTTCTTGCTCCCCCTCGCTCGCTCCCCTTCATTACCCAGCCTAGGCTACACCTCGCATTTTCAATAATAGCCATCAGATAAGGCAGATTTTTTTTTTTTTGTCTGCAAGCTGTAAGCCTGCTGCTGCTGCTTCCTCCTACACACCCATCCAAGCGTCAATCTTGAATGATGAGAGCAGTCAAAACAAATGCAGAAAATAGCAAGATTCAAAAGCAACCTAGAGCACTTAAATCTGAATAGAATCTTCATAGCAGTTATGTTTTACATATCTGTTTGTTGCAGATTTTTACGTTTCACAAGACATTAAGAAATGCAATACATAAACCACAGCCTATGGCATGGTTTACTATGCCTTCCCTTTTCCCCTTTTAATACAAGGTAGGCAGTGGTCTGCATCTCTGCTTATATAATAGCAAAACCCTTTAATGAATCGATAATGAATACATTTCACAGTTTCTCTCCTGTAGTACAGCAAAAGGCATAAACGGCACAATAATTTTAGTCAAAGTAATTAGATTATCTCTGTGATTTCTTCAACCATAAATTATTGTAAGACACAAGAAAACCTTCATGCCAACATACAATAATTCAACTTGAAAAGGTCACCATTTCAAATGAATAATTAAAAGCATATTTTTACTAAATAAATTTTAAGTTTATATTATTTTCTTTCAAAAATATGAATGATAGCAGTCAGACATATGATCCTCATGATTTCTAGAGAGGATGAGCATTTTATCAACTCTAACTGAAAAAAAAAAAAAGTTTAATTTAAAAGGAATGCAAAGATCATTTTCTGCAGAAGAAACAAAATACCTCAAAATGTATTTTTCCTCATTGTTCCATTTTTGAGACAGTTTCTGTAAAGATGGAAATATTTTACACCTTTTTCTGAGAGGAATGTTTCCTAGACTTTTGCTTTTCATAATAGGATCAAAGCATTTAGAAAAAATGCAGAAAATGGGTATATTCAGGGTACAATTCTAAGAAGAATCCTGTCCAGTAGACTTCATTTATTGAACACATTAATTATTTTTTTTGTTTTCCTTGTCCATTGTGAATCTCGAGCAATGACCAACTCTAAGGAGGAATTTAATTACAGGCATAAGGAAATACAGATATCTGTCAAGAGCATCATCTGTGACTGATGATACTATGGCAGAAAACTGTTTCATAGAAATCCAAACCTACAGTCTGACCGATGTTATAATACAAAGTGTCTGTAAGTGATATGCAGAGGGTCCCTGAGCAGTTGCAGAACAGACTCTGAACTTAGCTAGCTCTTTTAAATTAGCAATATTATAAGGGTTTCAACTCCAAACTGACTAGTCCTTGGACTAAAACTGGATGACTTTTCACTCTTATATTGTTGCTTAGATTTGTGGAACATCTCTGCAAATTGAAATCCATAATGATTTTGTAGAATAATTTTAGTTGAGCCATAGAAGATCTTTCATGAGGTTGGAAAGTTGCCCAAGACAGGTC